AAAAAAAAAGAAAAAGAAAAGAAAAAAGATCCCTTAAAAAAAAAAAAAAAACACACACACACCATTACAAGGAAGAGGATATGGCATGGCCTCATAGAAATAGGGTAACAGACCTCACAGCGCCAATGCAATAAACATCAAATACTATTAACAGCTAACTCTTCAATTAACCAAAAAAGGTTTTGACTGATGTGTCAAAACTATTGTTTTTAACTGAATCAATGACTGTTCGTCATATGACATGGAAGCAGAGGCTACTTTAAATAAGATATGCTGAAGAAGATAATTCAGTTCAGCATTATTAATAACAGCAACAAAAAGGGAGGAGAGAAAAAATAAAATGGAAATAAAATAAGTCATGCCTATTGTTTAATTTTCCGAATATCTATACAGCACTTACTTCAGTGTCAACACACCAAGCTTAGTACAATGTTTAAAAAAAGACAGATGTGGCTCTGCCCTCATAGAGTTTCCATTCTATTATGGGAGACAGACACTAAAATAATTACATTGTGGGCGCCTGGGTGGCTCAGTCGTTAAGCATCTGCCTTCGGCTCGGGTCATGATCCCAGGGTCCTGGGATCGAGCCCCACATCGGGCTCTCTGCTCAGCAGGAAGCCTGCTTCTCCCTCTCCCACTCCCCCTGCTTGTGTTCCCTCTCTCGCTGTCTCTCTCTGTCAAATAAATAGAATCTTTAAACATGAAATAAAATAAAATAATTACATTGTGTATTTTCTTCCAGCAGTTATGCCACTATGCTCTCCTAAATAACAAAAAGAATAGCGAAATAATATGCAGACATTTTAAATGACCGTAAAGAGGTTTTAATAATGACAGAAAATCAGTTGGTTAAGCGGCAGCTGCCTTCAGATCAAGTCATGATCCCATGACCCCAGGCTCCTGGGATGGAGCCCCGAGGCTGGTTCCCTGCTCAGCCGGGAGTCTGTTTCTCCCTCTTACTCTGCCCCCTCCCTTTCCCCCCCCTCCTCATGCCCTCTCTCTCTCCCTCTCTCTCAAATAAATAAAATCTTTAAAAAAATAAATAAATAATGACAGAAAATGTTATTACAAGAATAGTATTTAATAAAATCATAAAACAGGGGCGCCTGGGTGGCTCAGTCGTTAAGCGTCTGCCTTCGGCTCAGGTCACGATCCCAGGGTCCTGGGATCGAGCCCCGCATCGGGCTCCCTGCTCCGCGGGAGGCCTGCTTCTCCCTCTCCCACTCCCTCTGCTTGTGTCCCCTCTCTCACTGTGTCTCTCTCTGTCAAATAAATAAATCTTTAAAAAAAAAAAATCATGAAACAATTTCATGAAGTATATGATCTCATCGATGTAAAGAAAAAGGTATACGAAGGAGGTTCAGTGATTATAAAATCCATCTATAAGAATATATGACTGAGATTACTAAGAAAAATGATGAAAGGAACTCCTACACTTGAATAGGGAAACAATTTCCAAGCCACAATGAATAGTTCAATGTGAAATAGGGCAAAAAACAATGAATCTCAGGGCTAGCTACGGGACAAATACCTCTACAAGGGTCTGTTTCTGGACTAATAGTCTAGAATACAGCTTTTTTAATGTTCCAAAGTGGTATCTGAAGCCAGTGAGAAAAGGATAAACTAGGCAATAGCTAGTAGGTTGACTATTTAGAAAAATAAACAAAGTTAGACCTTTATATCACATCATAAATTCCAAATGCAACGTGACAGTACAAATCTCACTGGTAAAGCTGAAATAATATATATATAATGTAATAATAATTCAAAACATCACTAAATACCTAATTATTAAGTTTCATAAAAACATTCCAAATGCATTTCAATGTTAAAATTTAGAAACCATGAAATGAAATTTAGGAAACTACTATGTGATTTGGGGGTGGGGAGGCATTCTTAGAATAGAAGAAAAACTATTCTAAAAGACTGTAGGATTTTACAATAGACATTTCAAATAAATTTTTACACAGAAAAAAATAAACATGACATAGATCCCACAGCATGAATATAGTTATCACAAAAGAAATATAGTTAAATGGCCAGCAACCAACAAGGAAAAATATTTGCAACGTATAACAACTAAAAGCTCGCTACTTTTCATATATGGTGTGCTCTCACAATCAACAAGATGAAAGATATAAACATCCCAATAGAAAAATGTGCAAAGAACATGAACATAATTGGTGGAGAAATTTAAAAGACTGAGAAACCTGTTTTATAATATTCGACCACATTGGTTGATACATGCTAGTTTACGATAACCACAGTGATAGAAACGCTGCTTTAAGTTCTATGTTTCACTACTCAGATGAAAAGACACAATGTCCAGGGCGCCTGGGTGGCTCAGTTGGTTAGGCGACTGCCTTCGGCTCAGGTCATGATCCTGGAGTCCCAGGATCGAGTCCCACATTGGGCTCCCTGCTCGGCGGGGAGCCTGCTTCTGCCTCTGACCGTCCCCCCTCTCATGTGCTCTCTCTCTCTCATTCTCTCTGTCTCAAATAAATAAATTTTAAAAATCTTTAAAAAAAAAAAAAAAGACACAATATCCAATACTGGAAAAGGCTAGCATATGAGATGGGGCATTCTGCTGAGAAGGCAATTTGGTAAAAATGAGTCAAAAGCCTTATTCAAATCCTTCAGTCCAGTAATCCTACTTCAAAGGTAATTTATTATTTTTTAAAAAACATCTTACACAAAGACAACAACTCAGGGCTAAGTGTCCCTCCCATGAAACTGATGAAAGCCACGGACCTATAACACGTAATACTATGCACCCATTACAAAAATTTAAGTTCTCAAAGCATTTTGAGTGAAATGAGAAAAGCTCATAAATCTAATAAATGAAAAGAAGACATACATCTGGAGCAGGATGAGTTCTAAAAGACGCATACACAAAATATGTGTGGAAATCAGGCTAGCAGTGGTCCTCAGGTGAAATTAGAAGAGATTTCAATTGGGCGCCTGGGTGGCTCAGTTGGTTGGGCGACTGCCTTCGGCTCAGGTCATGATCCTGGAGTCCCGGGATCGAGTCCCGCATCGGGCTCCCTGCTCGGCGAGGAGTCTACTTCTCCCTCTGACCCTCCTCCCTCTCATGCTCTCTGTCTCTCATTCTCTCTCTCGCAAATAAATAAAATCTTAAAAAAAAAAAAAAAAAAGATTTCTCAATTTTTTTTTTTCCTTCTCATCTTCTTCCTTATACGTGTCTAAATCATCCAAATTTTCTATAATGAGCATGTTACTTTAATAATCAGGAAAATGCAACTTAAAAAAAACATCTAAAGTAAATACACCAAACTGACACAGGATGGTAACACCATAAGGCAACTCTTCTCCCCTCTGTTTCAACTTTTCTATACTGAGCCAAGGAGAAACTCTTAAAAAGGCCTAGCATGCGGACTGTCAAACATGGTCCAAAGTTGGCTGATTACAGGGGGGACGGGTGGAGGGAAGGGGGTGGGTGGGAAGGCCTTGCAGAGGAGGCGGGGGCAGGAGTTGGGTGGCCGGTGCACCCTCAGGGTCCCCGGTGCACCCTCAGGGTCCCCCTCAGTGTCCCAGGCCAGCCATGGAGCCCCAGACCACACACTCACTCCTCAGCACCGCAGGACGGGGCCAGGAACAAGACCAGCCTCAGAGCTCAGTGCTCTGTGAACATCAGCCAATGTCTTCAGGCTACCTTTAGGCAAAAAAGCAGAGGCCCAGAGAGGAAAGCAAAGCTCTGCAAGCTGGGAGCATGTGACCCTCTCTGAACGAGAAAGAAACGGCCCACTCCACAGACAAGCACAGAGGCACAGAGGTACCCCTCCACAGGGCCTGAGTCAGGCGCCCTGCCGCTAACCGAGCTTGGGCTTGGCAACCGGCAGAGGCCACAGAGCTACCCGCAGGGAGCATCGTGCCCTTCCACTGGGCCACGTCAACCACAGCAGGGGGCTGCTTCCATCCCCAGGCCGACGCAGAGCCACCTGCTAACTCGGAGGTGGCAAGCCAGCAGACAAGCCTGATGATCGGGCTGGATTCCCACCCCCCGGGGGCTCTCCAAATTAAGGCCTCCAAGTTCTCCAGAACCGATGAAGCCCCGGGGAAGACCAACTGCTTCCACACGGCAGCTCCCCTGCAACTCAGTGCCACCCCCAGAGCGCACGGCGTTCCCCTGCCCCTCTGCTCTGCCCGTCTAAAAACCCGGGGGGCAATTAAGCCACTTGATGCCAGAGTGTCTACAAGGTGACCCAGGAAGGAAGTGCAATAAACACATACACACGATCACACAGAAACCACAAAAAGCGCCATCTGTTAGGACACTGATCCACGTGTCCTGATAAAGGGAAGCAGCAACTGAACAGCCATTATCATACCAGGCACTTTAAACGAGTGCATTCTTTCAAATGTCGCAAAATTACACTTCTCAGTTTACACAGGCCAACACGGAGGCACAGAGAAAAGGAAAGGCGCGGGTGTGAGGAAGTGCTAGAGTGCCGATTCAAAGGGCAAAGCCCGTGCCACCTGCCTGAGGACACGGCGGGCGGTCCTGTCGCCACCGCCGCACGCGTGGAAACCAGCCCCCGGTGCTCCGTGAGGATGGGGCCGGCCTTCCCACCACTGCAGCTCCACAAGGGACCGCAGACCTCGTATACCGAAGGTGCTCAATCTATGTCCAGGAGAGGACACCCGTCACGGTCACAGTAAACAGCAGCCCTAACGACGGCCGCTGATCACTGAGCCCCCGCCCCGTCGGGGCCCGAGCAAGAACTGTTGCCTCCCTTCCCCACGGCTGTCTGAGCAGCTCTAGAGCTGATGCGCCCACTTTCCAGACGAAGACGCGGAGGCTCAGGGAGGTCTCAACGCTGGGAAACGGCATCTCCCTGACACGACAGCCTCGTTCCCAGCCAGCCCCACTGTGACCAGGTAAGGAAGCCCAAACGCGTCACCCGGGTCCGCTCCCCACTCCTGCTGGGAGGTCTTCCCAGCCCCCCGGGCCCGCCCCCGCCCCGCGTGGCGGCCGCTACCTTGGTTGAGATAGGTCAGAGTCTCTTCGTGCAGCTTCACGGCGGGCGACGTGGCCGCGCACAGCACGTACTGCAGGGGCGGCAGGCGGGCCTCGTTCTCGGGGGACAGCTGGGGCTCCTCTTGCTTGAAGATGGGCAGAGCGAGCACGTCACTGCAACACACAGGAGGGGGCAGTCAGGCGCCCAGTGGCAAGGACTGAGCGCAGTTGCAGAAGCGGGTCCTGACCAGGGAGGGGCATCAAGGGCAACACAGCCAAACCCGGGGCAGTGTGCTGGGGCGCGGGCATCCCAGACCCACACGTCACGGGTCCTCCAAGAGGCTCGTTTCAAACCCAGCCAACCAATCCTTGAGGAGTCTGTTTTTCACTCAGTGGCCCTCCAGAGAGTTACTGAATCAAATCATGGAGGCGAAAATACCAAGTTATCTAGTATCTACAAATTACAGAAACCTCCGTGACAAGGGGACCGGCAGCAATGGAGCGAACTTTAAATGCCGCATGGTTTCCATCCACAAGAGATGCCTCATTATGTAGTCTTGCTCTTAGCCTAAGAATCCGAACAAAAAAATTCATTTTTTTTTTAAGTTAACTATTCTACTCCTTGGTGGCTTCTCAGACCAATTCAACCCTGTCCTCAGGGATCTGTAAACTATGCAAATGGAACTGCATGTCACTCATCCGGGCTGTGACAGCCCACCACCCCCAATCTTCAAATAAAAATGGACAGCTGGCCCATAATCCTGATTTTAAGGGTCAACACTAATATCTCCTAAAGGCAAAACGAGAAGGAAAGACCTCGGTTTTAATTCCGTTTTCTTATTCGAATGCAAAATATCAAGATGCTCAGAGACACTTTTCCTCCACCTCTGAACAAAACTCCCCGCCATATCCAAAAAAACAAAAAAACAAACAAAAAAAAACAGCCTCACATCAGCCTAGGACTTGTCTCTAGATGTACTTTTTAAATGCCCTCGCAAGGGAAAAAGAAATTCTTGAGAATATGAATGACCTGTGAGCAGGAGAGGCTTTAAGACCTCTAAATTACAAGCTGCCTAGAAACAGGTGCCCCAAAAGTGCTGTGTCCTTATCTTGATAACCCTCCTCCCTCTGAGAGTCCCGAGTTATGAATCAGATTCACCGACCCCACTTCACTATATAAACAGCAGTCACTGGTACAATCTGTTCCTCGTACAACACAATAAACCAGTAGTCTCTAAAACACAAACCCGGCACACACCCCAGCAATCCCAAACAATTCTCAGAAGTTAAAGTCTGGCCTGGAGCACACCTGGAAGCTCTCCTGTGTGGGGGTCGCCCCTGCCACCATCCCCAGCCCAAAGACACGAGCAGTGCTGTCTTGGCTACCCCCACACCGCCCCTTCCTTTTGTCACCCTGGTGCATACTCCCAGCCCAAGTGGTTATCTAGGAACACAGGAGAAGCAAGCAGGCCTGCTCACCTGGGGATTGCATAATTTCATGTTTGCCCAGACCGTGTTAAGTTAATAATCCATGGGCTCCTGCCTTTAAATTAAAAAAAAAAAAAAAAGAAAGAAAAGAAAAGTAGGGGTGGTAAGAATCATCACTCAACAGTAATTTGTTTCAAGCTTGGCATCCTTATTTGCCAAGGAATAAAAGTCACGAGAACATCAAACAGAAAAAGGGAAGAAAGGAGTAAAGGCCACTACCTTCATAAGGTCAGACAACTTGCAGAGGTTCTGCAGAGTAAGGAGATGACCGAAAATAAAATATATAAACCAAGGAAAAGGACGAGACTCTCACTCTAGAGTTGGGGGAACCAGTGGCATATTCACTGACCCTCATTTTGGCCTTCACTTAGGTCAGCCTCTAAAAGGGTGAAAATCCCAGTTTCCAAGACATGAAATTTAAAAAAAAAATTTTTTTAAACAGCATGGACCAAATGCTTCCTTATCCACGGTCCCTAAATGACCCCAGAAACCAATATGGCTGTCTGGGACCTTTCACCCCAATTCCCACCCCACCTCCCAACCCCTAAACAATACCAAAATCCTAAAAAGGTATCTAAGGAATTCCATAGACCAATTTCCATTCCAGAAGCAGAAGCACCTCCCATACAAGGGGAGAACTATTTCCTAATGGGATGACATTTTAAATATCCAGGAAGTTTTACATACACTCACATTCCACTCAAGGTCACCTTCACACTCATTTTTTTAAGATATGGCAACATATTTAATGGCCACAAAGTAAAATTTAGGCAAAACCACAACCATAACCCATCACACAGTACAATAAAAGCAGACTCCATTGTAGCATTTCATGCAGGTGAATGGACACAATTTTCTGCAGACACTAACATCTGCCCTGTGGACTTCTGACATCCCCCAGAGCAGCTTCCCTCTGGTGACATTTCCATGGTCTGTAAGGAAGGCCATCATTCCTTAATTAAGATGTGAGACTTTGGCCGCCTCCCACTACTCAGGCCCATGAATAAAAAACAGAGGACACATCAGTTAAACCCAATCACTTCTTTGCTTCTGGAACGGGGATGTCTTCAGAGAGGACTAGTGGACACATACTTTTCAGAAGCCAGGATTTCCAAATAACGTGTACTGCTAAATCTGAGTGGGAACTTCTTGGGAGGGAAGAAAAAAAAAGGGCACTCAGAATGGCTCTCACTTCGGGGCTGTCGGCACCAGCGATTTCTTCCACCTCACAATTCACTTTCTCTGAGCCCATACCAAATGCCCTTTGGGTTAAATTAGGCACATTTCATAAACTGTGACTAGGATGGAAATAAAGACAGGCTAAAGCTGGTTCAGGCGAGTTCAGTAAATGAAATGACTGCCCATTAGTGCCCAGCCAGCTGCAGAACAGGGAAAAACAATCCTCCAGGAACTGAAGCTAACGGGGCTCCTTGACTTCCTTAAAGGGGATAGGAGAGAACTTTGAAAAACAAGCCGGACTTACTTTTCCCTTTGAAGAGCACTAGTCAAGTCCCTGCAGAAGAAGAAAGATTTCCATCAAGGGCAATAAACGTGCAGACCGCAGGCCAATACACGCAAGACCACCTGGAGGGAGGGGGCAACCTGTCCCTGAGCCCCCGCCCGCGGGGCCGCGAGAATGAAGCGCAGGGTCGGCCCTCGCCACTCACTCGCCCCTCCCGGCCCGCCCAAGGACACCGGAGAGGGCGCGAGGCTCGGAGAGGGACCCGGGCAGAGAGGGGCAAAGAGCAGGGGGCGAGACTTCCCCACGACGGGCACCGTACTGAAGGCAGGAAGTTTCCTCTGCTCCGACGCGAGCCGGGAGAGGAGGGACGGGAGAGGCGGACCGACCGGGAGGCGCGGCCAGCAGGTGTGTGCTCCGCGCCCGCCAGGGTCGTCAAGGGAGGACGGGTCCCGCCGGAGTCCGTCCCCAGGCGGGACTCTGGGCGATGTCCCTCCCAGTCCCCAAAGGGCGGACAGCCGGGGGGGGGTTGGGGGAGGCCAGGGCGCAGCGAGGGCGCTCGGGACCCGGGACCCTGCGGCTCCCGACCCGCCCCGGGACGCCCGACGGCGCGGCGCCCCGTCCAGCCGGGGCGGCGCGGCCCTTACCGCAGGTAGCTGCCGGAGTTGTGCTGGTTGTAGTGCTCGGGCTGCGTGTGCCAGAACAGCATGGCTGCAGCTCCGCGGCCGCCGCGCCCCAGGCGTGGCAGCGAAGCAGCGGCGGGCCGCGCCGAACTCGCCCAGTCCCCTGGAAGCCGCACTCCCAACCCGCAGGGCCGGCGGGCCCGGCGCATTTATGGACGGCCCGGGGGCGGGGCCACGGCCGGACCCGCCCCCCCTCGGGCCGCGCGGCGGGGCGGGGGCCTCCGGAGGCCGCGCACCTGGCCGACCCGCTCGGGCGCGCCCTTCCCGGGAGCGAGCGCGCCTCGGGGCTGCGGGACAGGAGGGGGCGGTGCGGCCTCGGACTGGGGCTGAGGCCCGGCCTCCTCTCTCGCCCTCGAGGGCGGGGCCCAGGGGACCCTCACCGCCGCCCCGACGACCTCCCGCGTTTCCCCCGCGCGCCGCCCTCGACTCTGCTGCGCCCAGGGCGGGTCCCCACAGTGGCACCGCGGCTGGGGAGAGGCTGCCCTGAGCTTGGACGTTAGGGGCCCCGGACCAGACACCCTCCGCCCCCTTACCTTGCTCTTGTTTTTTAATTTCAATTTACACTCTCTGAAATCGCGGTACTTTTTACTTTTGTTCATTGATTGTCTTTTCCACTAGAATGTAAGCTGCAAGAGGGCAAGGCTTGGACTCCAATTCATCGTGTTTTCCCACTGCCTACAAAAGTGCTTGAGACATAGTAAGTGCTCTCCATAAATATTTGTTGAATAAATATGAAAAAAAGGAGTGCATCGAGGGGGTAATCAGAGAAGGCTTCCTGAAGGAGGTGACATTGAGCCGAGGCCTTACAGACATGGAGGAAGCATCTCTGAACATCTGGAGGGAAAGTGGGTTCAGGCCCTAGTAATTGCCAAGGCAGACCAACTTTAGCACAGCTGGGGCTGGGTGACCAAGGGGATAAGGAAATAAGGTGAGAGAGGTGGACAGGGCAGATCACAGAGGGCCTGGCAGGGCCTGGCACAGAGCTGGGATTTCTCAGTGTGTTTTCAGAAGAGGAGGTGAATATGTGATTTGCCTTTTGGAAAGATCAGTCTGGAAGAAGTGTAGACAGTGGATCATGGCGGGGGGGAGGGGATCAGTAAGGAGGGCGTGGAGGTCATAGAGCCATGACTCACACCCAAGTGATATCCCCCGCTACATGGCACAGTGCTGGCACAGAAGAGCTGGACGTCCTGTCTCTGAGTGTTGATGGAATGGAATGAAGTCCCATGAAGCCCCAGACCTGAAACTCCAGCTCCCCCAAGCGTGGATGTGGGTAGAACCCTCCCTCACTCGGCTCTCGCAGCAACCCTTCCCCAGCACAGGTCATAGCTGGCAAGGCACTTCCTCGTAGCGGCTCTCAGGGACTACTACCTCCCCACTGCTCTCCTACCCCATGAGGAAAACAGAAATGTGTCATCCCAATCCCCCTGCAGGGAAGGACTTACTGTGCGAGCCACGAGGAGTGCTGTAAGCAGAGAGCCCTCCGCCCTCAGCCCCTTGAGGGCCAGGCTTTGCTGCAGAGAGCCTTCTCGCACAAGGTCACACCCAGGGAGGGAGGTCCACATCCCAATGCCTATTGAGACAGGAGACTGAAAGTCTGGAGTCTCTGCTGATTGGCTCTTTTGGTCCTAGGACTCCCAGAGGGGCCAGTCAAATGTGTCATGGGTTCTTCCCATGGGCGCTCCCTCAGTCCACTCCTGCTTCCTTCCCATCCCTTGCACAGGGGTGTTAATCTCGAGGAAACTTCCTTATAAACATCCTGAACGCTAAGCTCCGTCTCAGGGTCCATGACAAGCGCAGCATCTAAGTGGGAGGCTCTTTGGGGTAGTGTGCAAAGAGCACACCCTTAGCAGATCCTGTCACTGGACAGATACCCCCAGAGCACCTGCTGTGTGCCAGACATGGCGCTGGGTGTGAACTGGTGCTCTAACTGGAGAGGCCGGGGGAGCAACAGCAGAGGCTGCTCTAGGAGTAGGAGGGAGGGTGGTGGAGCTCTGGAAAGCCCCCGGGGAAAGTGATGTCCCCTGACAGATGGGTAAGTGGAAGTTAGGCCAATCTGTGAAGCGGGGCTTGGAGGAGGGTCTCCAGCAGCACACACAGCATGTGCCAAAGCCTGGAGGAAGGGCTCTGGTCATGGGAAACAGGTGACAGCATCTCAGACCTGAGTTTTCCACCTGCCTCTGTCAGGATCTGTGACCCTGGGTGGAGTAAACTGACTGCGTGCTGCTTCTCTCATCAGGAGGGCCCTGTGACTTGCTTTGACCATAGAATGCAGTGGAAATGATGCTGGCCCTGTTCCAGACTGGCCCCAAGGAGGCCGGGCAGCTTTCTGCGTCTGCTTTCTTGGAGTTCTGGAGCACCCTGGAGAGCGTAGATCAAAGCCCAGCCAGCCCCCAACCATTCCAGCCCCCAGGCCATCTCAGATTTGGCAATGGATCTGCTCCAGCAGGCGCCACCACAGAATGAGTTTGAGCCCTGCCACCCGGCCCTGCCCAAAATGCAGACTTGAGAGCCCGTGCTCTTCGGCCACCATTAATTCCTATCCTAAGGCCCTGCATTCCTTTCTGGGAACAAGGTTGGGCAAATGTGCTGGGATCCAGATGTGTGTCAGCTCCTGAGTAGTAGCCCAGGGCCCCCCAGAGTCCTCAAAGGACCACACCCTCTTGGCCATGCCACAGGGGTGTCCAGCTGCTCTTCGAGGAGGTCACCATGAAGAATCCGGGGCCTGATGCCCGGGGGGATGGTTTCCACGAATGAACAGGAGTTTAAGGATGGCCAAAGTAGGCGGGGAGGTATCCTAGCCAGAGGGAAAAGTCTGTATAATTATGTTTATCCCGATATTGTTTATAATGGTAAAAATTGGAGACAAACGAAATGTCCCATCAGTAGGAGGCTAGATACATCGTCTGCAGCCTGTTCACATGATGGAATTCTCTACAAGCTTGAAAATGAATTAGAGCTCCGTGGATGATGCTCACAAGCATACGGTAAGGCAAAGAGAAACAAGATGTAGATTACATATTGTATAGTATGCTTTATCAGGGTTAGCGACATGCAGAATAACACTAGCTATCGTACAGGAGTCTACCGATGTGGCTGGGAAGTGATAAATATAATTCTCAGAGCAAAGCTTACCTCTGGGGAGGAGGGCTCACGTAGGGGCTCACACAGGGGACTTCAACTGTAGGCCATTACCATAAGTGGCCATTAGAACATTCTTTATATATTCTGGCAATTGGAAATATTTCATTAATAGATTCATTTTTTTTAAAGATTTTATTTATTTAGTTGAGAGAGAGAGAGAGCATGAGCAGGGGGAGGGGTAGAGGGAGAAGCAGACTCCCTGCTGAGGAGGGAGCAGAGCCCGATGCCGCATGCCAGGCTCAATCCCAGGACCCTGAGATCATGACCTGAGCCGAAAGCAGACACTTAACCAACTGAGCCACCCAGGCGCCCCTCGTTCATAGATTTATTTCTGAGTACATGCAAAGGCCAGAAGCATTGGCAGCCCAGGGTGTGGCATAGGAGAGAAGAAAAGGATCATGTTTGCCCTGCGCCAGAGTTCAAGTTTCACATGCCTTGCCTTGAGAGGACAGAGCCCCTTCTAAAACAACTAGAAAAGGCAGGTATGGATGCTCCCAGGTATTTGCAGGTAGCAAGCAGCTCGCCATCTGCCCAGACCCCGTGACCTTTGCCTGGACAGGCTGTGCCGCATGCCCCGATGTCAGCCACTTAGGGCCCACACACAGAGGGGGGACTGCTGGTTGGGGGGGAGGTGGGGAGGCATCTATACCTGCTGTCCACGTCCTGGGAGCGCAGGGCTAGTGCACTCAACAATGTCTGAGGCTAAAAAGCCATTGATCTTCCTGACTGGGGCTCCCTGAAGGGGAGAAGAACTGAGACCCCCAACTGTGATTTTGGGAATACCTACTCTGGGCTGGACACTTTCCACAGTAGCCCTGGGAGGGAGGGGCTGTGAGCCCTTTGGCAGATGGGGAAGGAGAGGCTTCAACAGAGTAAGGGAGCCGCTCGAGTGTGTAAGGCCACACGATGGAAGGAAAAGACCAAAGGGCCAAGAGGAGGTGCGGACTGCGGTGCCCGCTTATCCACCCCTCCCTGGAGAGACACTTCATCTGCCCCTTGGCAATTTTCCTGGCAGGTTCCCCTAGGTAGGGTGCCTCTGCAGAGCCCATGGGCAGGCATTTGCTCCTGGGGAGAGCCTCTCCTGTGGGTGCTGTTATGCCGACAGGCTAAACACAGAGCCTCACTGCTGTGCACACGGCCCAGACAGGAAAATGGGATGGACCTGGGACTGGCAGGAGGGAGCCCGCCTAGCCCTGGTCCCTGGCCTGCATGGCCCTGACTCCCGCTGAGGGGTGGGGTGGGGGGGAATAGGGAGGAAGCTCCCACCTGCTGAGCGCTGCTATTAATTTAATTCACCAATCCCCACTACACCTCTGTAAGGAGGGGAAACAGACTCCAAAGGCTGCAGTGACTAACCTAAGGCAAGGTGACGGAGATTCAAGATTTGAACCCAGGCCATCTGATTCTGGTCCCCTGTAGTTTGGCACAACCCCGTGACCCTCAGCCTAGGCCAGGGTATGGGAGGGGCAGCTGTGCACAGGGTTCTAGCCCAACCCAGGTCACACCCAACATGCACCCAACAGCTGGGGAAGGCTAGGATGTCTGAGGCCCTTGGGAGCAGATGGCCTTACTGGGAAGGCAATGATCTTCCTTGAGTCTGTGCCCCCATCAGGCTCTGGAATCTCCCAGGCAGGAGCCATGTCCTCCTCCAAAATGCATGCCCTGCACCTGACACAGGGTCATCACAGAGGGGCTACTTAGGAGCCGCAGGATTAATCTGATTGACATAAACTGCCGTGAGACACCCTGGTGGATGCTTCCAATAGGAAACACACTAGTGTGGTCTATTACATAAGTAACTAATCTTCTAGGAATAACATAGAAATGCACACAAAATTCAAAGGGTGGTACCTGGAAAGGAAAATATCCTCCCTGCCCCCTCCACTTCTCTCTTCATCCAACTTTCCAGGGTTAGCAGTTTCC